ATTACAATTATTAAATTCTGCACCCATTTTAAAATAATAAAGTTCTTTATTTTTTCTAGCCAATTATTGTTTGGGCCGAAAAGATGATGAGTTCATCATTAGCTTCAATCACTGAGATTGACATGTGAGTGAGTAATCTGGCATTATGTTTCTTATCTAAAGATGAATTTCAAAATACTGAAATTTCTCATTGGAAGATGAATATACACATGCCAAAAGTCCAGTATCTAGAATAGCATAGCCCAGTAAGGTGCAGCAACTTGATGTGGCATTGATTCTACAAGTGGTCAGAAGACCTTTGGATAGTCATGCTGTTTACACTATTTAGATTATTCGGACTATTGTCCTCATCTTTGTCATCATATTTATTACAATGTTTTGGCTGTTGTACACTCCAGCCTTCTTCAGGTGGTTGGAATGTCAAACTGAACCCTTTATTTTGCTCACTGGGGTAGACTGTTCTAATTCCACATGCCATGTTTAATGGATGTCAGTTATCATTATCTCCTGTTAATTCCCTCCAACTCCACTGCTTAACCAGGTATTGAACTTACATTTTTGGGTCCTGTCACTGGATCTAACTAATGCCTTTATCCACTGTGCTATATGTCCTGAGGATCCTTTTAAATTGTCACTGAGGCCCAACCTTTTACAAAGAGTGCCATGTGTCCTCAAGGACACATGGCACAGTGTATAAAAGTGTTGGTTCGATCCAGTGACAGGACCCAAAGGATCCATTAAACATGGCACGTGGAACTAGAACAGTCTACCCCAATGAGTGAAATAAAGGGTTCAGTTCAACATTCCAACAACCTGAAGAAGGCCGGAGTGTACAATGGCCAAAACGTTGTAATAAATATGGCGACAAAGATGAGGACAATAGTCCGAATAATGTAAATAGTGTACATAATACCTCATCTCAGAAATATAGACAGATCATGTTGTTTAGTTGGTAACTATTCAAATCTATTACAAATGATATTTGTAATTGCATAATCTTGCATGTGAATACACTTTTCCCTTTGTTCCATAATTGCTTGATTGGGCTCATGTCAAATAAATGTAGTGGCCCTGCAAACTGTCTGAAATTTCCAGAATCATTCCCAAATCTATTCTGGACAATTAGTATGTAATGATATGATATGATAGTATATCATTGTTTTTAGGTACACGGATCCCTGAATGGATGCAAAGGGCCATGAAGTAATGCAGTGGTCACTGATCAATGACATATTTAGGTAGACTAGCTGACCCAACCCATGTCACATGAACACATCCCACACCTTTATGGAACTAATACCAATTTGAATGCCTTTTTGATAACTGGAGTTCATGATCTTATGGGGTTTGTGTCATACCCGAGCCATATAATTTAAATAACTTCCAAAATTATTAATTTTCTCTTATTTGACTTTTTCTTAATATTTAATTAAATAATAATAATTTAATTCATAAGCAAGATGATAATGCCACTAAGATGCAAGGGGTTACTGGGAGTGAAAGAGAAGACTTTAAAAAGTACTGAAAACCCAATCCTAAACAAGAAACAAGGAATAAACTTCTACTGTATAATAAACAGGAAAGGATTATGAATTGTGCAATAGGTGAACATATCTATTCTGAGATTAGTTTTCTCTTTACTGTCAAGAGTTAAATCTATCTTAATCTTATCTCCAAAAATGAATCTGTTTTAAGATAGGACAACTTTTTACCAATTCTTCCTGTTTTTCTACTGAAAAAAAAATGTTTTAAGAATAAACATATTTTAATAAAAAGCCATACTAAACCAATCATATTTGCAACATTTAATAGCCTAAGTATAAAAATGTTAAACTTTGTTCTCTCTTGCTTTGTCTTTTCAGGACACGGGTGATTATGACTCTCTACAATTTCCTATCTTTTGTTGCTCTTTGTAATGTTTGTCTCGTATTTAAAATTACATTAATTTCAAATACAGGAGTCATAAAAATGGTTTCAAAGGTCTGCACAGTTGTGCACATTGATTTTTTTCAATCTTTTTAGAAAATCAATATTGAATTCAATGAGAAAGCTGGGGTTTTTTGATGTGATAAGTACTGACACCAAAACTGAGATTCTTAGCATTTAGGTTTAAAGATCATTTGAAAATACCTAATTTCCATAAATTTTTGCTTACAAACTGACTTCAAAAATTTTACTATTTCAAGAATAAATCCAAATAAAGCTGATATTTTTTGTATTAGATACATTAAATGGAAAATATATTCAAACCAGAATATTAATTATGAATCACAAGGAAAATATGTATTTTTTTTACTGTATTCAATGAGAGAAAACTGTAAAATTGTACAAGTTTACAAAAAGGCTATTCAATGAATATGATCTTACACCATTTGTTAGGTCAGAATTAATAAAAACCAAAACTAGATAAAAGTGTATATAACATAATGCTGTTGAGCCCAAATTTTAAGAAAAATGTTTTAGATTTGCATTGTTATTTGCACCATTAATCTATATCATACTATTAAATTATAGTATAGCTAAATAGTTCAGTATAATTTCCTTTTGAAGTTGATGAGGGCCTTATTTGATGGCACAATGATTTAGTAATAAAGTGCTTGTGCCTTGCTCCTTGTCCATATAAAATTTGTGAAGCTTCAGTAGATAATTTAATTACTCTTTCTATACCTTGCAAATATGCAAGTAAATTCAGCAACTTCAATGTTGTTCCTTTCATTAAAACCTCTTGCAGTTCATTATTAAAAAAAAACCTTCAGCAAGTGTGGGTTTACAAACTCCATTTTATGAAAGGTCAATCAACTCTAACCAGTGTGTTACTTCGGAGTTGATGAATGTAATTATTTTTTAATTTATTCTCACTACTTCAGAAACAAAAAAATGTTTTTATTGAAAAATTTACCCATCCTTAGTTATATTTTTGTGATGTAATTTGAATTAAATTTTAAAATTTGTCTCATAAATTGACATAACTAATTAAGTACGAATAAATGTTTAATTATCTAATGTACAATTTTTTATAGCTTCTTCCCTCACCTCTAATTCATCTGACTTCAACATTGAGTAAAGAATATTTTATGGAAGTAAGACAAAAGTATTGTGTTGTAAATTTATTAATGCAACATTCTGTATTTTGGTTGACTGTTGCTTTATTCTTTGGATCATGTTGAAGATATACAGTTGTTGGTTATGGAATTTATTATCCCTTCTAATTTCAAACCAACTAACTGCATATATTTCAAATATAAATTTTATAAGGCTGTGTCATAAGGCTTTCACCAGAATTTTAATGCTTCAATTTTGAACCTAAACATAATCTTTAAACTCAATTCCTCAAAAAATGATAACTATTTGAAAAAATTATTTTGTGTCATTATTTATCATGTCAAACCCCAACTTTCAATTTGAATGAAATACTTCCAAAATTAACCTGTCCTACTGCACAGTTCAACTTATAATGTTTTCTTATTATCCAGGGGTTGTTATCATACAAAAAATGAAATCAGACCTTCAACAAATATATCCATTTCAGTTTCATTCAAATTGCATGTGAAAGTATGTATGTTCATATGTATATTTTAATTCAATGACACACCTTAAAATATTTCTACGAAATTTAGAGAAAAAAATTATTACTGAATTTCTGAAAATTTCAGTAAAGTTTTATAATTAATTATTTGATTTGTTTTTTTCTTTTAGGGTATAAAAAATTAGGGTTTTTCACAAAGACATTAATTGTGCCATTTTTCTTATTCTACATGTGCCATTTTTACCTGAATTCACTTTCTGTGGCCATTTACTTTGTGTGGTTATCTCTATGCTGACAGGATTTAGGTACCAAGATATGGACAGGTGGACAGTCTGATAGGAGATAGAAACAGTAAAATAATTATCGATGATACTAAAGCTCTCTCACTGTATGTAAGAAAAAGAAAATCTGATTATTTTAATTTATCTTTTTATTTTATTTCTGTTATATAGGAATAAAGTGTCGCTGCCAACACTTGAGTTTGAACATAGATCACCAGTGAGCAAACACAGGTGATCCCATTATTGAATTAAGTACACCACGTGACCATAGAGGAAACGCATAAGTAGGAAGTGATGTGATGTCTAATTGATTACTATTTCTACTCTATTACTATATGGACTGCTATTCTCTATTCTATTCACTATTCTATTTCTTTATTCAGATCACTATACGGTGGTTACTATTCAAGCAGTATCATTGAGCAAATACTATTAGTGTGAGTGCTATTCAAAGGCATCTGACACCAGTATTGTTTGATAGTGTACTATAGTTGTATATGCAATTACAAAATCTCTACTACAATTAGCATTATGAAAGTGACAACAAGTATTTGTTGGCATTACAAAAAGGGCAACCAGTGTTTGTTGACATCACAAAAAATTCACACCCATGCACACTTGTAAGCAAAGAGACATTTTGACAACATGAAGCTGTTAATAATTTTTTTTTCTTGTCCTTAACTTTTATTGCTCAACCTAGGGTGGGGGTTGTCCAGATTGAGTGAGAACTGAACTGTGTGTGCATATCTAAGCTTGTGTATTGCATGGATAACTCAAGGTTGCCTAAACATGCCTTTTATGGCGAACTATCTGTAGACAAGCATCCCAGACACAAACCTAGAAAGTGCTTTAAAAATTGCATCAAAACCAATCTCAAAGCTCTTGGGATATCAGTTGGTACCTGGGAACTGGAGGCAGAATGTCAACCTTTGTAGAGAATGACAGTTCATCAAGGTTGTAACCAGTTTGAAAAGGACAAAGTGGAACATACTAGGGTTAAGCACAATCTTCATAAAGGTAATCTTGGAAGTGCTACCTTCCACCCTAACCTTACAGTATGTATGTAGCTTATGTGGTAGTTTAGCTCTTTCAAAGGTAAGTCTTCAAAGTCACCTTAGGTCTAGTCAGGCTAGATCCATTGAAAGAAGCCAGAAATCAATATTTGTGCCTTCTTGTACACTCTGCTATAAAGTATGCAAGTCAGCTTCTGGATTAACAAGACACATGAAAATTCATGTTGACACACCATGCCTGTTGGGCTTGAAGCCTCCCTTTCAGGTGCAACATTTGTGCAAAAGCTTGTAAAATTAAGGCTGGTTTAAAAAGTCATCTGTGCTCTCATGATCAGTGAGTCTGAAAAAAAAAAAAAAAAAAAAAAAAAAAAGCAAAAAAATAAATAAATAAATTTCTTGTGGAGATAGTCTTCTTCTGTCAAGAAGTGACAATCACCGTATGGCAAAAGAAAAGCACATCACTCACGCGCAACAGACATCTGCTTACAATACATTCATTGCATATAGGCACGTGCAAAGTCATGCACTGGCAGACTGTGTGTGTAGTAGTGTAATGGAGTGAAAAACGGTTCGTCTTTTTTTTTTTTTAGTTTTATAATAAAAAAAAAATGTGACGCTTTATTTCTCTTTCTTTCTCTCTCAAATTAACCAGAGTCCAAAGATTTGAATACAGAGTAGTACACTTCTTACTTAAATAATAGGCAACCAAGCTAGAATTAGGGCGATAAAGAGTTATAAAACACTTTCTTTAATCTTAATCTTCTTAAGGCTCTTTGTAATCTTTGTAAAGGCTCCGCTTAAGTAAGACTTACTTAAGCGGAGCCTTTACAAATCTTTGTAACCCTAATAATTCCTAATCCTTGGGAGCCTAATTCTCAGATTTAAGAAGTGTATCCAAATCCTTGGACCTTAATTAATTTTTTAAAATTTTTTTTTTTTTTTTTTTATCTAGGTATCCCTACTAATTCGCCGAAAAAAGGACATATGATGAATAAAGGCCCCAAACTAGAAAAAAAATTATCGTAGTTCCACTGACGCAAAGAGAAAGATTTTTTAAGAATGTTCTTAAAAAAAATGAAAAAATTTAATAAAATAATCAAATTTGGTCTTTACTAACAAACATTTTGACAATAAAATTTTGCTATATGCTTTTTCTTTTAGCTAAACCGCGGTGTTAGGAAAGGCCAAAGAAAGCATTATTTAAAAAAAATTTCATCTTTTTTAGAACATTCGAAATTTTGATTAAAAATCTTGTTTTTCTTGCATCAGCGGATGGATAATCACTTAAATATTTAATATAATAATCACTATATAAAAATTTAATTAATCACTACATACAAATTTAAATAATCACTATATAAAAATACAAATATTTAATAATCACTATATTTACTTTAGGACGAAAAAATTCTGTTTTGTTTTTGTTTACAACGGAGATTTTTACTTGTATCACCAAATTATTTTTTCCTTAGGATGAATGATATTTAACAATAACCCCCCCCAAAAAAAAATCTGTAAGATAGATTAAAACAATGACATGTTTATAGGAAGATTAAAAAAAACAATATTTTTTTTCTTCGTTTGTGCTGCTGTTGTACTACTACTAAGCAAGATTCGTGTGTTGCAAAACGTGACTGGCTAATTAATTGACAACGAAGTTATCAGACGTCAGTTGCTTTTGAGCGCATGATTCTTACGAAAAACATCTCAAAGCAGAAAAAAAGAAAAAGTTAAGAACAGTCTCTTTAGTTGCTTTCTTAATCTTACATATTTACTTCAGTAAATATCAATATTTTTATTCGTTGACTTGGCTCGGCTGTTTGCACGGATCAGAGATTAAGATACGAACAAAGAAAGATAACTTTTTGTTGACAGAATTTGGCTTTTCTTCACGTCGTCGTTCTTCGATTATCACAGAAACTTCCCAAATTATCACGCTAAAAAGTATTTTCACTCCACTACCACAGGCAACTTCTTAACAGGCCCGAATTATTTGTTTTTTTCTGGAAACAGGATTGTTGATTCTTTTCTGTAAGTTTGATGAACAACTTTACCTTATTTGATGCGTGCAATAACAAAAATATTTTTTGTTGCTGTTGTTTATTGTTTGTTAATTAACAAAAAAATTGTAACCACTGTGTATTTTAAATAAATTCCGGTTTATTTAAACTTGCATAATAATCCTAACTTTTACTAAGGTTTTAAATTGAAAAGCCGTTAAGAAATATAGGATTTAAAATTTTTTAAAAATTCATATTCATCAGGTAGGTATTCACATGGAGAAGAAATACAAGGAAACAAAAAAATAACGTGTTTTTAGTTTAGTTTATTTCTTCGTTTTAAAATTGTGAATCTTCTTATTCTTCACCCTCTTAAATCCACTTTTTTTGTTTCTCATCTTTTTGTGACCAACTGTGATTTACTTAAATCAAACGTTAAAATTTAAAAATCCAAGAAATATTTTTTCGCGGCTGTAAAGCTGCATTAAAAAAAATCCTATCCTTTCATGACAAAAGTAAATAAAACTTCGTGCTTCAATGAAAATGTATTTTTGAAAAAATAAAAATAAAAACCCTCTGACGACTCCCGAGTAAAATAAAAGTCTCTAATTATTGCTAGAGATTAATAAATAAATAAATTTTTTGAAAAACTTTCCTATATAAAGTTAAAGTTTAAACTAAAGAAAATTGAATTATTACTTGATTTAAAAACTATTTTAAAATTAGGTTGTTCACCATTAAAAATAAGTATCAAATAAACTAGAATGTACATATAATTTATATAAATTTAAAAACCTAAGTTTGAGGATCGAACTCATTTCCATTGAATCCATTTACGGCGAGCTCAAAGAGATCTGCAAAAAGATTTTTTTTCTTTCCTTCTCTAATTCTACAGGAATAACATTTCATTTCAGATGTTTAAGCTTCTTAGTATGACACAAGTGAAGACCGAATTCATATTACTTTTTTTTTTTTTGTTAATTTTTTTTGTGATTATCCTGTCATTATCAATCATTTAAAAAAATGGCGCATGTTTGATGCGACATTTAATAAATTTGTTGAAGGAAACAGTTTCTGGGGGAAATTTTTGTGTTGAAGACAATCTGGGCTGCTTTTCAATTTTCAGACAATTTCAAATCTTCATTGTAGAGGACTAAAAAATCTTAGAAAGCTTTCTGATTTTATTTTTTTTAATTAATTTTTAAAAAGACAAAAATTTAAGTAGAGGAAATTTTGTTTTATCTTTTTTTTGTTGATTGCTTTTTTAAAAGTTTGTATATTTTAAATTTTTACGTTGCCAATAGTTTGGTGCTTTTCAGGTGAGCCCACAAAAGTCCTCTCGACTAGAGACTAAAGTTGCGCTTGAAATCAACGAAGACAACGTTGGCCGTGCGAATTAAGACTTCTGTCTTTGTTCCTTGAGCGAGGTAAATATCACGCATTTGTCTTTCATTCCTACGAACTTTTCTTTTTGTTTGAAAAAAAAAAAAATTCATGCAAAATTTATATATATTTTATTTTATATAGTCACAAATTACTCATTGAAAAGAAAAAGAATAAAAGTCGATGTTTTGGTGCATTTTTCTAATTAATTGTTAGAACTTCAAGCATTATTAAATAAACGCAAAGCCCAAATCATGCGCACTTTTGAAACGTGAAAAAATATCCGCATGTTTAAAAAAAAAATAGTGAATTGTCGGATTTCACCGATATTTTCAGCTTTTATTCAGAAATGAATGAATGAACTTTAAATTATATTTACTTTTTTATTTTTAAGTTTTGTCACTTTGTGGAAGTATTTTTCTGATGAGTTATACTCCCATCTTTGCGGGTACTACGGAATTTTGGATGTTCATAATTTTTACATTTTCATATAGCTAAAGGTGTTTAAATGTAATCTCATTAAAATAAAATTTAATATCGAGTGTGAATACTTCGAAAGTATGGTCCGAAATCTTCGAAGGATTCAAGAAAATTAAAAAATATTTTTTATGGAAAGTTGCTGATACTTAGATACTTCACAGACTTTCTAAAAATAAAGCTGAAAAACGCATTTTAGATAAACTAAATGTCTTTTTTATGTTAAATTTTGGCTTTATTTGACAGATAATAAAGTTAATCTGTAAAAAAAAAAAAAAAAAAATACATTTTTAAATGATGATTTTATTTTTAGACATTTTTAAAAAATTAAAAAAAAAAACACTTCCGCATATTTTTTGCGAATTTCATGGACGCTTACAAAAGAAATATTAACACACATTTTTGAAAAATCTTTCAAAAATCCAATATCTGTCCCAGACATTTGCTGCATTGGAAAAAAAAAATTAAATATAAGGATTAATTAATTAAATTCTGTAAAAATATATCTTTTTACAAAATATATAACGAAAAAAAAGGATATGTCGCATAAACTTTTTTACATTTTTCGAATCTCCAGTCCAAACCAAACACATATTTTAAATTATTAATTTTATCAGCAACGACCAAGATATAAAATCGTATTGTAAAAAAGATAAAAATACATGTCAATTTTTCACAAAGAAATATGCACTAGAGATTTTTTTTCCTGTAAAAAAAAAAAAAAATATATACTGCGTCTTAAAATAATTAATAAAAGAATCTCTGACCTCATTTTTTTTTTAAAAACAAATCGAGGAAACAATTTTTTTTCAAAGTTATAAAAGTTATGAAAACATCAATTTATAATTCCTCCAAGGACTTTCAAAAAATGTTGAAAAACTCATTAAATAATTTCATTCTCTTCTTTGAAGTTAAATTGTGAGGTACCACCACTTAAAAATTACCATACTGTCATGAAAAAAAAAAAAAAAAAAATTGTCCCAAACTTAATAAAAGCAAAGTTTTATCGTCAAAATCTTTGTTAGGAAAGAGCAGAGGATTTTTTTTATAATCAAATTATATTTTTTCTTATCCTTTTTCGACCGTTCGAAATTTGGGTCAAAATTCTTGTTTTTCTTGCGTCAGCGGGGAGGGGGGTACGTTTCAAAGATTATTAGTATAAGAAATTTTAGTGTTTTTTTTTTTTTTTTTTTAAAAAACATTAATTTGGAAATTCTTGCAAAAATCAAATAAATGCCAGAAACTTTCTAGATTTCTGCACAAATGAGTTTATTTTAGAATTTTTTTTTAGTAAATTTTTTTTTTTTTTTTTTTTTTTTTTACATATGTTACTCTCTTTAATTTTAAGAAATTTCGAGAAATTCATTTTTTTGACACCTAATTTTTTATTAGTTAAAAGAAAATTCTTGGCGATTTTTTTTTTTTTTTTTTTTTTTACAGAACATGACCCCGAATTACCGAAAATCTGCACTGATTCGTAAAGTAAAAAAAATGCAATAAAACTAAGACATTATTTAATTAGAAAAGAATTTAATTGCTTTTATGAATAAAATATATTATGGAAATATATTTATTTTTTCACTGAAGAATGAATTTTTACAAGAATTGTTTTCATTTTAAAAAAAAATTAATTAGAATAATTTATAAAATTTTAAATCTCAAATTTCTGTATTGTGCATTTTATTTTTAGGTAATATTGATATTAAGTAAAAACTATATTTACTAATTATAAATGGAAAAACTTAGTACAATTGCTCGAACAGTATCACCAATATTTTAAGAATTTTGAATTTTACAACATTTTAAAAAATTAACTATGAAAAGTTTTTTATTCATAAATTTATCAAAATTTACTAAATTATATAAAAAAAAAATGTGAACCAATTATAATGAAATCTTTATTATTTACCATTTTATAAAGTTCGAATCAATTGGCAGTTTGAGTTTTTTAGTCAATGACAATGTTCTACCAACTATTATCCAAAGAATACACAATTTGCTATCTTCGCCAATTGCTTTTTAGTCGAAGTATTTAGTGTCCATTCTTCATAAGATTTATTCATCTGTCAGCCAGCACTTGGCTGACAAAATATAATCTTTTGGCATATTTTCTAGGCATTTTTAGGAAAAAAATTAGCAACGATTTAAAAAATGTCTCAAAAATTGTTTTTTTTTTTTTTTTTTTTTTTTTAAAGTAGAAAGGGGAGTAACCTATAATTGCTGGAGTTTCAGTCTTTGGATTTCTATTGATTAGGCATTCTTGATGTTAGATGACTATTATAAAAAAAAATTGGAAAATTAAAATAAAAAGTAATTTGAGATATAAAATAATTTGAGAAAAAATGTATAATGTTTGTAAAAATAATTTTTATTTAAATTTTATTGATGTATAGTTCATACATCATACTTATTATAAAACCTAGGTTGTGTGTGTGTGTGTCTGTACGTTTATATATTGGATCAGATTTCCTACATTTTTCAACCGATTTCAACAAAACTTCACAGGACTACGTAAAATTATTTTGTGGTGGTTCTGACAGCGCTAAAAATTGGAATAACACAATTGTTTTTGCACGAAATCAATTTGAAAACACGATTAAGAGGCATCGCGAAAATGAAAGGGGGACAACTCATATCGAGTTATACTTATTATAAAACCCAGGTTGTTTGTGTGTGTGTGTGTGTGTTCATTTATATATGGGATTGGATTTCCTACATTTTTCAACCGATTTCAACAAAGCTTCACTTTTTTTTTTGGCCGATAGTGTTTCTTATTGTCTTGCACACTTTTTTCTTTATTTTTACATTCAGAATGCTTTTAAAATTCCATTTACTAGACAATTGTTTATAATAAAATTCTATTCAATCGGTAGACTCATAACAATTGAAAACAATGTTTTTCTTTGAGTTTGGGTTTGACCAATTCGTAAAAAAAAAAAAAAAAAATACTAATTAAGACATGCGTGTCCGTCAACCTTAAACAATAATCTTTGTCAATTTTATTTTTCAGTCTTTATGATGGTCGATACTTGATCTATTTCTTACTGTTACATCCCTGGGCAACGCCGGGCTCTACTGCTAGTATTTTAATAAAATTGAATAAAAAAATTGTTTTCATAGTTATTTATAAAATGATAATAAATATTGCATTGTAGTTGGTTCATATATTTTTAAAATTTTTCTAAAAAAATTTTTTTAAATTTATTTCTTTATAAAATGATAAATAGTAAATATCACATTGTACTTAGTTCACATTTTTATAATCCTTATAAACATAGCTGAGGGAGTTTTGGTCAGGTAATATATATAGTAATTGAAGTATCAATAGAAAAATTGTCTTTTTGCAGTATGGTCTTTTATTTTTGCATGCACAAAGGTTAAACTTTAATAATTTTTTTCTTTCCTGGGACATAATTCAAAATTAAAAAAAAAAAAAATTATTTATAAAAATTATCATACTTGAAAAGGACATTACATACATTGTTTTATTCTTCAAACATGACTTTATTTTATATCAACTTTATCATCAATGATCAAGATCTGAAAGAGTTTTAAAATAGTACTGTAAAAATACATGTCAATTTTTTTACAAACAAATATATATTGGAACTTTTTTCTGTAGAAAAAAAAAAAAAAATAGAGTATATATTTTATTAAAATTATGTATTAGCAACCCTCCACAAAAAATAATTGAGTTTTCTTGACTACTTTTCTTAAGACTTTGGATCATATTTTCAACATTTTGGCACTTAATTTCCATAGTGGTTTTTAATGATATATCACCTCTGGGGATTTAGCTTTAAAAAAAAATGTAAAATTAGGAAATATCCAAAATTCACTAGTATGGATTATCCATGAGTTAAGTGAGTGTATAACTGACCTGAAAAAATATTCTAACTTAAAAATAAAAAGAAAGATTCAATATAAAGTTAATTTATTAATGAATAAATGCTGAGAAGTTCAATGAAATCTACCAACTGATTTTTAAAAACTGAGTATTGATTTCTATGTTTCATGTGTTACAAGTTTGAATTATTTTGGATGTATCTACTTTCTGCATACCCTTTTTCTCAGAAGAAAGGAGATTTTTTATATTAAGCTTTTTTATTTTTAAAATTTTTTTTTAAACCAACTTTAATTCTGTGAATGACATTAGTTGAAGAGGCCATAGAATAGATGACCAGAAGAAAAATTTTACCACTTTGATATTTGTTATGGTAGTGAAGAAAAAAAGATCTGAGAAAAAGTTTATATATATATATATATATATATATATAATCTTAATAAAATAAGTGATGTCATAATTAATTTATACTACAGAAATTAATAATAATAAACTAAATATTGGTGATTGTCTTATTTAATTTATAGTAATTAAAGTAATTGCTAGTTTATTAAAATAGTACTTATTTTATTAAAAATATTACCTATGACTTTCCCTATACCTATGCAATTATAATACTATAATATTTAGAATGGGTGGATATAAAAAGCTGTCTGGGCATTAAATATCATAAATGCTAACATCCAAACACTGAAAGATGTTAAATTTTGATATTTGACCATAAAAATTTATTTTATTTATTTAGGCATCTCCATACATTTTTGATGAGATAATGTTAAAAAAAAAAAAACACTTTAATTTTATTGGCAGCTTTTTTGCCATTAATAGGAACCAAGAAAAAATTAGAGAAAATTTTGATATAAAAATTGTCTACCCTGTAGAACTGGAGATATTTGAAAAGTTGTTTATAATGTATAAAACAGTGTAACAGTAAATTGCTAGAGGAAATTTTTAGGCAATAAAAATCCAAATTTTAAATTTCCGCACTTATTTTATTTATTTATTTTTTTTTTCAATGAAATTTTTGGCACTTATAGATAGAGTAAGAAAAGTTTCTGGAAATAATTCTTTGAAGTTCATCATACTCCATATTTTTATGTAAAAATATTTTTTTCTTTCAATTTAAAAAAAAAGTTAAAACTTAAAACATTTAAATAAGTATAATACATTTTAGAGAGAGAGAGAAAGAAAAAAAATGATGTGGAGGTACTTATATGTATGTTTTATCAAAGAGTGGACTATGACTGACTGGAATCAATAGATGCATCACATACCATCACGAGTCCAGTGACCATTCAGGTTGCAGAGGCACCATATGTACAACTGCCATATCAGCAATAACATATCTAGGGCAACCAATGGATGCAATCATGACACTAGTACCTCTGGAGGTTAATCAAACAAAAAGAGAAAGAAAGGAATGAGTCTACTAACTGGATGGTAATTGTTGAAATTTGCAGGAAGATTGGTTGAAAAGTTAAGAAAATTAAAAAAACAAAATGTGTTGAAAGACCATGTTTTAAAATAATTCCAAGGAGAATTGAAAACAAATTTAACTAGATGGAATTCAGTAGGATTGAGCAAGACCAAGACTACCTGTCCTTTCCCAATTTCTGCTAATAAGAAAGAGACCATTAATATATCTGCAAAGACGTCAGATAAAATAAAAATATGTTGTTGATAAAGAGACCAGAGTGGTCAATGAAATAAAATTTAAAGACCACTCTGAATGAAAAAGCCACATAAAGAGAGTCCCCACACAATTGCTACTGGAGTCCACATCATTCACTTAGACCTCCTGACCTTGTTCAGGCCTTGAAGACCAGAACTTAGAAATACTACTAAAACAAGCTGCAGACTCCAAATGGGATCCCAGTGTCATTTGATTATAACAACAAGTGGAAAGGATTGAAAATGCTGTATACAACAAATCATATATAAACCAAATTATTGCTACATTTTTAACCTGAGTAATTCTTTATTCCAAAGAATTCTTTTTTGTGTAGCTCCCAGTTGTTGAACAATTTTCACTTCAGTTTGTTTCATCAGTGACCTTCTCGCTGTCTGAGATCAAGAAACACAACATGACAGAGGAGTGAATAGACATGAACAGACAAATGTCAGCTAAGTTGAGTGGAACTATGCCTATCATCATGATACCAGCAACAAACAAGTCACATTAATGAGTGAAGAGTCAGCCAGATGGTAACTATGGTGATCTGCAGGAACTTGAGAACCTATGTGTGAGGTGATATTATATGGTTACTGTTGACAAGGATTGGCCAGTGGGGTGAAATTATAGGTTACCAATGACCTGGATTGACTAGTAGCATGACATTATTGGTTGCCGTGGAATCAGGATTGACCAGTGGGGTTACACAATAGTTTTTTATTTTTTACTGTTACTAATGATGGTAAGGTAGTTAAGGAGTTTGGTATTTCTTATTTAACTCTCTTCATCATGACATGTCATTGATAAGATATATAGTTTGTCAAGATATCTGATGATGGTACAATGCAGGGAGAACTATATTCATGCCTTTCCCAAGAGCATTAGTGCCAAATGTATTGAAATTAAAAGGCTGTTGATTCCATTATCTGTTATGTTATGCCACTTCTCTAGATGAAGTGTGCAACAAGGATCAAAATAACAAATAGTGCATTTCAGTGAAACATTATAAACAGTCTTAATAAGTATCAAGATTTTTCAAAAACTTCATATTAATCCTTAGCTGTCCTGAAACTGAAAATATCAATAAAAAAAAACATCAGGAACCATTAATGTTAAAAAAAATATGAAATACAGAGATAATTACTTATTATAGCCACAGAGAATGTTATTTTAATTTTTTTTTAATCATTTCATCCCAAACAAAGCAATAATGCCACTAGGATGCAAGGGGTTACTGTGAATGAAAGTTGGTGAGAAAAGACAATAAAAGAACATGAATCAAAGAGACAGACAATTGTGATTGACATTGCATTTAAATTTTTGAAGATTCTAGGTCCAGGGAAACAAAAAATTGAAAGAGTTCCACAGGTGAGAAATGAAATTATTAGAATAGAACTTCTTGCTAAATCAACAGTAAAACAATGAGACCTAGTTGCCAATCTAGTAGTATGCTTCAATTCATGTAGTCCTAGTACCAAGGAGGAATTGCCATGAAAATATTTATAAAAAAAGAGACACAAGGAAACCATGTCATGGCTGATGTCCAGATGCTGGGTCAGACATTGCAAATTCTTCTTTAGAGTTTGTTGAGAATCTTGAGATATATAGTAGGTGCACCAGACCAGATATGGCAGCAATATTCAATGCATGGACAAATGCTAGATTTATAAATGTACAAGATAGTTTGAAAAAAAAAAAAAAAAAAATTTATCTGGTACAACAGTGAACCAACTTTCTTAGCAGAAGACCTCACAAGTGATTCAATATAGTCTCTCCATGAGACTAAGAAGGTGCAGTGAATTGCTCTCTTGGAAGTTAGCATCAGCCATGCTGATGGAAGGCAAAAAAGGTTCTCTATAGTGATTAAAAGATAGCAGTTTCATTTTGAAGATGTTCAAATTTACAAGCCATTCTGCCCCAGTTAACAACTGAATAGAGGTAATGAATTTTAATAATTTCAAGTTAAATATTAAACTTTTTGTACTATAAAGTTTATAACAATGAATTTAATAACAATGTAAATTATTCCATTTTTTATATCCTTTGCTTAATGTTATCAGCTGGTTATTGTTATCTAAAATCCATGTCCAAAAGTGGTCATATTAAGCAATTTCCTTTGTGTATAAATGTGTAACTATGATTTTCTTTTTCATTTTTTTATTCTAGCAGTTGTTCTTATAAAGCTGTTTAAACTTTGATAAATGGTTTCTGAAAATTGTATTCCAGGAAAATGGACAGCAGTTTCAATAAAGATATGGATATAGAGATAAAAAAGAAAATATCTGTTCACTGGTTCCGCCATGGTCAGCGTATCCATGACAACCCAGCTCTTGTTGATGCTGTGAAAGACTGTGATGAGTTTTATCCAATCTTCATTTTTGATGGCAAGGTTGCTGGAACGGAACTTTGTGGTTACAATCGGTGGCGATTCTTGCTTGAGAATTTGAAAGATTTGGATGAGTCCTTTTCCAAGTTTGGTGGCAGGCTGTACTGTTTCCATGGACAACCTATGGATATTTTCCAGAAACTGTTTAAAGAATGGAATGTTAACTACATTACTGCTGAAGAAGATCCGGAGCCAATATGGCAGGACCGAGACAATAGCATTAAGAAGCTGTGTGAGAAATCTGGAGTAACTTGTAAGTTCTTTACATCACACACACTATACTCGCCCCAGGACATAATTGCCAAAAATGGTGGTACCCCACCTCTGACTCTGGAACTGTTTCAGTTGGTTATAACATCACTTGGCCCACCATTGCGCCCCCTACCACAACCTGATTTACAAGATGTTAATATGCCAGTGCCTAAGAATTTTAAAAAATTTGCATTGCCCACTTTAGAATTCTTTGGAATTGAACCAGAATTTGAAGAACAAAAGAAACCACTGAATGTTTTTGTTGGGGGTGAAACGAGAGCTTTAAACTTATTGAAGGCTCGACTTGAAAAGGAAAAAGCTTCCTTTGAGCAAGATTCATGCCAGCCAAATCATCAGGAACAGCCAGAACTGATGGCAAAGGCTGTCAGTTTGAGTCCTTATTTACGCTTTGGTTGTGTCTCTATCCGTAGAACTTACTGGGGAATTTGTGACATGTACACGAAGGTTCACAATAAAGAGCCTCCAAGTGAGGTTGTCTGCCAGCTTTATTGGCGAGAGTACTTCTATATCATGTCTGTTGGAAACCTCAACTATGACAAAATAGAGAATAACCCAATCTGTCTAAAAATCAATTGGCAAAAGAATGATGAGCACTTAAGGAAATGGGAGCTTGGACAAACTGGTTATCCATGGATCGATGCCATCATGAACCAGCTCCGATTTGAAGGCTGGAATCATCATGTTGGGCGTCATGCTGTCTCTTGTTTCCTAACCCGTGGTGATCTCTGGATCAGCTGGGAGGATGGTCTGAAAGTATTTCTTAAATATCAGCTGGATGCTGATTGGTCTGTTTGTGCTGGCAACTGGATGTGGGTGTCAAGTTCTGCTTTTGAAAAAGCATTACAGTGCCCTACATGTTATTCCCCAGTCATGTATGGTATGCGGATGGACAGAAATGGCGAGTTTGTACGTACGTATGTCCCTGTCCTTAAAGATATGCCACTGAAGTATTTGTTTTGCCCATGGAAAGCTCCTTTGGAAGTCCAGAAGGCAGCCAATTGCATCATTGGCAAAGATTATCCTGAACCCATCTGTTCTCACCGAGATATGTCCAGAGTGAATATGTCGAAAATGTATAGGGTCAAGGAGAAGCTCCTTAAAGCTGATATCCCACATTGTGCTCCAACTGGTGAAATGGAAGTGTGGAAGTTTGCTTGGCTCCCACCCATTGAGCATCATGATCTGGCTCACAATTTGTAGTTTACAAATGTAGTAATAAATTTGCATATCTTGGTAAGTAGATTTTTAATAGTCATTCTGTCTAATTTATCTTTACTTATATTTGCCCTATACGCTGCCCAAGAGCCACTTAAGGTAGAGGGTTACTGAAGGCAGTTGTTGTGTGAGAGGTAAGAGTAAGAGGTGCAGTTTATGAGGATATGTGGGAAAGTAATGGTTAGCCCTAGACTTGAAGAGATTAAGATTGTAGTAGTCAGGAACGCATTCTCCTAGGATTCTGTTCCATAAAGCAACAGTTCTTTCTTGGGAAGAAGCTATCCAAGTGGAACTTACTCCTTACTAATGAAATAGAAGGAGAATGAGGGTGGTTTGCCTCTGTGGGTGTGGTGTGGTGGGTCTATTGCTTAAAAAGTACTTGTTATAAAAGTCTGGAATACTGAAAGTATTGTGTTGTCTGTGTCTATGATTTTGAAATAACATTGCCTTTCCGTCCAATTTTTTTTTTTTTAATCCTTGGGCATTTTTTAAAATATTTATGTCTGGATCCAAGAAACTTTCTGAAATAAGTCTGTTCATAAATGTTATTTTATATCTATTAAAGGTCAATTTTGGATCACAATATAAAATTAAATTTAACTTAGGACCAGGAAAAAAAATGGTGTATCAAAAGGATATTTTTCTATTGCTGTATACTTCCTTGATAAATATTTTTTTTTTTTTTACTTTAAAAAGCTATTTTTAGAATCTTAATAAAACTTATAGCATATGAAACTGAATTTATTCCTAACCCCTAAGGATTAGCAACAAAATGTTAAACAATATTTATTCAATTTATTTACAAGATTATAGAAGGAAGATGTGAAAACAAGGAGTATTGTTTACAAGAGTATTGAATTTAATTTCTGAGCTTTAAATTATTTATTTACAATATTATAAAACTATTCTTGTAGTTCCCTGGAAGAACAAGTTAATATTTACAAGACTATAAAAATATGTGAACAAATTATGGTTTTATTAAAATTCTAAAAATAGCTTTTTAAAAATAGATACTTTGTGAACTTTAAGAATATGTTTATAAACTTGCAAATAAATTATTTATAGTTCTCTGGAAGAAGAATTTTATATTTACAAGATTATAAATTTAAATAGATTTTTAAAACAATAAAAATGACCATGGGAATATACAGTAATGGTGATGAAATAGAGATAAAAACATCCTTTTGATACATCACTTTTTTGCCTGATCCTAATTTTATTTGGGTGGAACATGACTATCAGAAGCTTGCTATTAGGGTATATTTAGTTGATAGACAAAAACTACTGAATTGCAATGATATAGTATCTTTAAAATGCTTTGTTTCTTCATAAACAAACCATTTAAGTACTTAGAGTTTAGCATTTAACTGAATGTGTTTTTTTACTTTTAATTTGAATACTTGGAGAAAACACAGAGTGAGTTATATTAGTTTGGCTTTATATTTTATGAGATAAGTATTATCAATCATTATTAATTTTTTATTAGTATTTTCTTGCATCTTAATTTCGGTTTCTTTTCATTGCAACTGATGGATCAGTTATAACAAAAGTAAAGGAGATAAGGAAATTGAATATAGAATAGGCAGTGCTAGAGGTAGTTTTGCCCAATACTGCAAATTGCTACAAAGCCGAAACATTAACCTAAAAATTTGAGTTTTATTCTTAAATAGCCTTGTCAAATTGAGACTTTCATATGGATGTCATGCATGGCACTAAACTTGTTCAGAAATATCTAACCTGTGAGCTGTATACAATGCTTTCTCAGATCAATCATTAAAAATGGCTTTGAGCCAGTGAAAGTTGAGGATCTTGGTAAAGACCATCTTTCTTCAAACATTGTGAACTGGTGCTACAGATTCACAAAGAACTGTACCACATAACAGGAACCACATCATTTGAGGACTTTCAGCAACAGCATCAACTAAAATGGATATCATATGTAACTTGAAGAGAAAATGATATAATCAAGATATTGACATTACACATAATTTCAAAGAAAAGTTTCTGAAGGAAGTGTCCATCAATATTGGAATAACAGTGGATTTGAGGAACCTATTTTCCTGAAAAATTGTTTTAATAGAAAGATTTTATAAATTTCAACTGAAACTAGCACTGGTTGCTCAGTCAATGAATGCTGAATGTTTATTTATAAGGAAGTGGCTAATATTACCATCAGAGATGAAGAGAAACAGATACTACACTTTGTTCACAGCCTGATGGCCAGGGAGTGAAGAAAAGTGTAACAAGAGGCATTGACTGCCTGATCAATGAATGGAAAATAGCTAATATTACCATTACTATTCAGATCCTACTAGTCTTCAGGTAATATTCTAATTTACATTGCTTTTACTTTCAGAAACTGCTCTACCATTTGAGTTGGCAGATCCAATCTAACCTTTAAACTCATTCTCTATTTTTCCATCAATTATTTGGTACTATATTTGTTATTTTTACACTAGTAGTATTTATATTACCTTGATACTATTTTTAATTAGAGGAAGTATTATTTACTACTAATATTTTACTATTTTTTGTTTCTCATCCCAACTTTAGTTGGTTTTCATCACAACTACCCAAATGGCAGTGAGTAAAGTCTTGTTACTGGGTGTGGTCCAATTTTGTGGCACAAACACTAGGGGAGACTTCAGAACATGCATTCTGCTGTAGATTGTAGCCACTTGTCATCTTTTTTCAGCAGCTGCTGGTTACATGCAGATACATGCCAAACTCATGACTATCAGTTGATGGCATTATAAGGATTTCACTTACATGTGTGCACTTTCTTCATTGCAAATGAGCATCTACATGCGAAGCACACAAAGCATCATGCTCATTTAGCTTCAGGTATTTCATCAAGTGTTTTGTTTAAAAATAAAATCAAGTTAATATTACTACTGCTACTACTAGTGTGAATAAAAACATTTGACAAACCAGGGGAAAAACTAGATTGAATTTAAGGGTTACATTTGATCTTTTGCCTGTTGTAATAGCAGGGGTATGGATGTATAAGTAATATAATGGTTAGTGACTCAGAAAAAGAAATCATTTATCCCAGTTTGAATTCTGGCTGAGTTCATGCTATTCACTTTCAAACAAAGTAGCGAAAGGTAGGAATTCATCTCTTCTGACTATGAGTTAAATAGCAGGGCAGTCTCGGCTCTTGCCTTATGGTGGTAGGAAAGCCGAGTTCAAAACCAGAGGGATGGACTCTGTTAGGTAATCTTTCCTTAGTTACACCACTGTTGCTATTGCTGCAATATATGTGGTGTCCCTATGACTCCAATGGGTTTTAGTAGAGCAGCTGTCATTCATAGACAAGCTGCCTTAGTTAAAAGAGATGTGATCTTGTGTAGAGGAGCTTGTTCTTTATTTCTTAATCTGCACTGTTTAACTATTTGTATAGACTGATGGTCTGCATAAGTTGTAATAAAAAGCAACTGAAAATAAGACGAAAGAAAACAGTATTGTATAACATTTATTAACTAAAAATATATTCAAATATTTTGAAATGATATTTACATATTTTTACCTGTTTCTGCTATAACTTTATTGATACAAACTTACTGTATTTTTCTATTTAGACATATATTTTTTTTATCTTATACTTTTTACTAATGGGATCTGAAATGGTTTAAAAAGATGTTCATGTGTTGTGGGTGGATAATTTAATACTACTTTATTTCACTTGAAGCATTGGAAGTGATGGAAAGAGCAGTGGATAGAGAATAAATATTGGGTATCACGAACTTTAGTGTTCAAGACTTTCTGAAGGAAAATATATTTAAATTCATCAATGTTCTAACAATAACATATCCAAAACATTCAGATATAAAATATATATTCAAATTCAATATTTTAGCAATAAAATATATTTAAATTAATGTTCTAGCAATAGAACATTGAATAACATTACAATAATTAATGATTGATGTCAGTAGGCTAACACACATGAAAAAAAAAAAAAATTCTTGAAATTTAAAAAATGGTTTTGGACACTAAAATTCAATTTTACCCCAAAATTTTGTTGTAATCTGTCTGAATATGGGCTTCACTTGTAAAACACTGAAGTGTGTTAAGTTTTCTATTGTGTTTTAAAGATATCATCCCTATATTTATTTCTGCCAGTCATTGTTTCTAGAATTTGCCACACCTTTGTATATCATCATATTAAAGTTTTAACAGTTCTTTTACATCATTAATTTTAATATTTTTCTGAATTTTGTATATGTTATCCATTTTTGCAATCATTATTATTATGAGCATAATACCCATTAAAAATGAATTTATTCATGTATAGATCATTACTTCGGACATGGATCTGTGCTCTGTAAGAAGTGTTATATATCCAAATATATAGTGTCCCAGTGGTGATCTGCTTCTATTTCAATCCATGATGAGGGATAGATAGGCAAAAACAATAATTCTACTTTGTCTGAATTTCTGTAATGAGAAGTTATTATTTGGACTAATGTCCTCATCCGTGTTGTTATCACATTTTATCTGTTGTGTTCCCATGTCTGTTGCTGATCAAGAGACACTTGAAGAAGGTTGGAGTACTGAATGACCAAAATGTGATAACAACAAAGATGGGGACATTAATCTGTTTGAAAATAATGACTTATAAATATTTTATTATAAGTTGTTCAGGTTGGCATATATCTTTTATTTCTTTTCCTCACTAAAGCTAGAAATAATTGTCTTACTTGCCAATCAAATATTTTGGAGAATACCGTTTTGGAGGAGAGGGTCTAAATGGAATTTCTTTTATTCTATATAGTTGTACACCTTCTCTGCAAGTAATCCATTCATTCTCAATTTCCATCATATAGAATTGAAAATGTCTTTATTTCAGTTTAAGAAAGCACACACACAGGCAGTAAAATAATTTTTAACAAGTAGGAATAATACAGGAGTTGTTTTTAATAAATGTTGATAATTTTTCACTTCCGAAGAGAGCAAGAACATTTACTTTTGTGTCTCAGGAT